GATTAATATTAGTATTAGATTATAATTATAATTAAGATTATGATTATGCTTAGTACGATAATTAGTGACATGTATTAATATTAGGATTATGATTAGTATTAGGATTGTGATTAGAATTATAATTAAGATTAGAATTAGAATTAACATTATCATTAGCATTAGCATTATTAGTATTAAAATTATTAGGCTTATGATTAGTGTTAGGAATAGGATTATGATTATGATTATGATTACGATTAGAACTATGATTAGTGTTATGAATAGAATTAGAAATACGATAAAGATTTGGATAATATTAGAATTACAAAAATTAGCATTAACATATTAATAATTAGCATATCTAGATTAGCATTAGCATCAAAATTAGTATTAGCATTAACATTAACAATATTAACATATTATTATTACTAATAGTACTAATAATAGTATCAGTATTAATATTAGTATTGGTAATAGTATTAGTATTGGTATTAGTATTAGTATTAGTATTAGTATTAGTATTAGTATTAGTATTAGTATTAGTATTAGTATTAGTCAATGTTAGCAGAACCGGACCAAACACAAAACCGGACTGGCATTCGGGTCACGGTTGGACCGGTTCAACCGGGTTTTTGACCCAAGTTTTTTATTTTTTGAAAATTTTAATTATTTTATTAGTTTTAATATTTTAAATTCATATTTTCAGTATATTTTTTTTATCTTTCAAACCATCTTTTCCTTTATTATTATATTTTTATATATAAATTATTTTATTTATTATTCCCCACCCCCACCTTTTCTTCTTATCACTTACGCTAACTTCCTGCTCTCTCCTCTTATTTTATTTTTTCTCTTTTTTTTTTCTTCTCTTTTTCTTCTTTTCTATGTTCTTCTTCGTTCTTCTCACTCCATATCCACCACCAAACAAACTATTCCAGTCACCCACGACCAGAGCCTTCAAATTCCGGCCACCCATGGCTAGATCTGTCAAATTCCGGTCACCGCCAGTCTACTCTACCCAGATCCGGCCACCTCCAGCGAATTCCGCCAATATCGCGCCGCCAACAGCCACCAACAAAATGTTTAAGATGAAAATCGGGGTCATTAACAGGTTTCCGTGTTCGCCGATTTTGGCCGGTCGAACCCGGTTTTTGACATTTGGATCGGGTTCTTGAATTTGCCGATTTTGAGCATCAGATCGGACCATTTTTCTTGTGGGTAGCGGTCGGACCGGCCGATCCGGTACGCTTCTTACAACATTGGTATTAGTACATATATTAGTATTAACGTAAGTATTAGTATCCAGATCAATATTATTATCGGTATCAAGATCAGTATAAGTATAAGTATAAGTATAAGTATAAGTATATAAGTATAAGTATAAGTATAAGTATAAGTATAAGTATAAGTATAAGTATAAGTATAAGTATCAGTATCAGTACCACAATATGTATCAGTACCAATATCAGTACCGGTATCGGTATCGGTATATGTATATGTATATGTATCATTAGCATTAGATCATTAGCCATAAAATTAGTTTTATCATTTATATTAGTATTAGTAATAGTATTAGTATCAATATTAGTATTAATATTACTATTAGTAATAGTATTAGTATTAATACTTATATTAGTATTAATATCAGTATAAGTATCTGTATCAGTATTAGTATCGATATCAGTACCAATATTAGTATAAGTATTAGTATCGGTATTAGTATCAGAATCAGTATATGTATCAGTATCGGTATCAGTTTTCAGTATCTATATCAGTATGAGTATCAATATTAGTATCAATTTCAGTATCAATATCAGTATCAATATCAATATTAATATTAGTATTAGTATTTCTAGTATAATATTAGTATCAGTATTACTATTTTTATCAGTATGAGTAACAATATTACTATCAGTATTAGTATGAGTATCAGTATTAGTAATAATATTAATATCAGTATTAGTATGAATATCAGAATTAGTAATAGTATTATTAGTAATATTAATATTACTATGAGTATCAATATGACTATCAACATCAGTATCAGTATTAACATCAATATCAATCAATATCAATATCAGTGTCATTCAGTATCAATATCACTATCAGTATCAGCATCACTATCACTATCACTATCACTATCACTATCACTATCACTATCACTATCACTATCACTATCACTATCAATATCGGTATCGGTATCGGTATCAGTATTAGTAGCAATATTAGTATTAATATTAGTATTAATATCAATATTAGTATTAGTTTGTGTATCGATATTGATTAGTATCAGTATTAGTATCGATATTAATTAGTATAAGTATTAGTATCGATATTAATATCAATATATTGTATCAGTATTGATATCCATATTGGTATCGGTATTGATATCAACATTGGTATTAATAAAGGCGTATACATCTTATCTCTTTTGCAATATTTATAAATTGTATTGTTGTTTGAGTAATGTGCATCAGTAATTAAACGTCGTTAGTGATAAACTTACAGGTTATTTGAATATCTATTGCGTTACTTCTGTGCTACCGTATTTGTTGTTAAATTAGTTATGTTGCAAAAGATTGACATTGTGTAGTAGGTTGCATTCCTCGAAATAGAGTTATACCATATGTTTTAAATGATTTCACTTAATCTTCATATCGTGTTTGCGCGCTTCACGTTTTCTTCTTTAAAATATTTAATTTAATTTCATATGTTAAAACTCTGAATTAAGAGATAAAGTTTATGGTTTTCTTTATTTCCTTCCATTTTGTTTTACTTGAATTGGTGTTGTTATAAAGAGATAGTCGTTTACATATTATTATTTTTCTCATTCTAAAACTGACATCCGTGCAACGCACGAGTGAATAACTAGTTTGATATAAAGATTATATGCCACGGAAGAAAGTGAACCAGCAAATCATATTGTTAATTTTGATTTTTTCTCTATATGTTTAGTTATTTTATAATCATACATTTCAAAAAAAATATTCAGGGGCACTACCCTTAACCCCCATAATCTTTTATTTCATCATTTTTATAAAATATTATTTTTATTTTTTTAGCACATTCAATTTCGAACACCCTTTAAAAAAAATGGTTTATCAAATAGGGGCCCCGTTTTCAATTGTTCTTTAAACCTCGCTTAGAGCCTCTGGGCCCCCGAAGAAATGGTTTATCAAATAGGGGCCCCATTTTCAATTGTTCTTTAAACCTCACTTAGAGCCCTCGGGCCCCCGAATTCTTAGGAACGGGTCTGACGCGGACGTCATCTGCTCTCAGGTTTCTCTCCGGAATTCTCCTTTCCTTTTCTACTGTTGATTTTTATTTGCATAAATTTTTGATTCCTAATTGATTCGAAGCTCGTGGAATATTCTTCGGCATCCAAACCTTTTGGACTACAAACGCTTTTACTTGTGACAATTTATATCATTTTCATATTAATTTAGAATCAATGATAACATGATTTATTTATATTATATACACGCGTGTTGCTTCTTCTGACTTGTTATTGGTTTTACATGTTTAAGTTTAACCACTATTACTACTTATTATATATATCATTAGCAAAGGCTATTAGTGGTAAAAAAAAATATATGTATGATGAAATGGTTATATATATGATCACAAGCCATAAGTATAAGGGCAAATGGCAAAAAGGCTCATCACATGGCACTTAAATGCATTTTGGTCCACAGAAAAAACAGTCTCTTAATTAAGCCCATCCCCATGTTTTTAGTCTAAATTACGCTCAATAATATAATTCTTATCAATTCCACCCATTATACTCTAACTTCTTTAATATTACACATTGACCCCGAATTTAAACAAATATATCACATTAACCGCCAAAACTTTTTTTTTTTCAGAAAATAATTTTTTTTCTGAAATGTTTTTTTTCCGGCCAGATTCCGGCGTTGACCGCCGGAGACCGCCGGTCTCCGGCATTGACTTTTTTTTTTTTTTTTTTTTGAAACTTTTTTTTTTCCTGAAATTTTTTTCCGGCCGGTCAACCACCGTTGACCGCCGGTCTCCGGCATTGACTTTTTTTTTTTTTTTGAATTGTTTTTCTTAGAAAAAAAATATTTTAATTAATATTACTGTCTTGGCTACTAAATTACTGTCTCAGACAGTAATATTATGAATATTATTTTTCCGAACAATAATATTATTAATATTATTGTCTAAGACAGTTAAATTACTAGTGGAGACAGTAATTTAACATCCAAGGCAGTAATATTAATTAAAATAATTTGTTGAAGGAAAAAAAAAGTCAATTAACAGTTAAATTACAGTCTCCGACAGTTAAATAACTGCCGGAGACAGTAATTTAGCAACGAATACAGTAATATTAATTAAAAATATTTTTTTTAAGAATAAAAAAGTCAATTAACAGTTAAATTACTTTCTCCGACAGTTAAATAACTGCTGGAGACAGTAATTTAGCAACGAATACAGTAATATTAATTAAAATATTTTTGAAGAAAAAAAAAAAAAGAGTCAATTAACAATTAAATTACTGTCTCCGACAGTTAAATAACTGTCGGAGACAGTAATTTAGCACCCAAGATAGTAATATTAATTAAAATATTTTTTTTAGAAAAAACAAAATTATAAAAAAAAAAAAAAAGTCAACGTCGAAGACCCGGCGGTCAACGGCAGTTGGAAAAAAATTTCAAGAAAAAAAAAAATTCAAAAAAAAAAAAAAAAAAAAAAAGTCAACGCCGGTCAACAGCGGCGACCGGCGGTCTCCGGTGGTGGCGGGTCAAAATTGGGGTCAAAATTGAAATTAGGGTTAAAATTGGTTAATTGATGAAATTGGGCTAAATTGGGGTGTAAATCATGAAATTGGAGTTAAATTGAGTTTCAATGAATTGGGGGTAATTTTGGTATATATAAAAGGATTTTCCTTATTTGCAAATAAGTTTGAATGGGTTGGATTTATTTGAAAGACAAAAAAATTGGTTATCCCTCTTTTAATTAAGTGCCCTTGTCATGTACATATTTGCCATTACCCCTAAATATATATTCTAAAGACAATTTTTAAGAAATTGAATAATTAGGATAATTTTAAACTTGCAATCTAGTGTCAAGAACAAAAGCTGTAATCTGAATTACCGTAAACTATCGAATACGAAAATTAAATAAACCGGTTCTAACTTGTGAAGCTTAGAACTCGACTCACGAGCTTCACTCCATTTTAATCGACGATATATTAAGTTTCTCTCCATTTCAAAGCAATGCGAATATAATCAAATTCACACCGGTCATAATTCGGCAATTCAGATAAAGTTGTCGTATGCCATTCTTCTCGATTACTATGATAAACCTCCAATTTCACTTCCTCCAAATCTCGAAACCACCACAACTCATTATTTTTGAATTGATCTACATTATTATTGTCTTCTCGAGTTTCTCTCTCTTCAGTTAGAATCTTCCACACACGCTCGATAAGTTCCATCACCCAGCTGTTCTCTTCATCGTCGTAGAACGGGAACTCCCCTACGTATCTTGGCCGACAAATACTAAGAAACCCATTTAAAAGAGACCGAAAATAAGATGAAAGAAAAATAATCTTCAAATTCTCGACCACAACATATTTATCACCATCATTATTCTCCGGAATTATATAGTTATTAGAATAAGACCAAGTATTAACATTCAGATAAATTTCGGATTGGCTTAACAACTCGAGCATTTCTTTCAGCATGACGAAAAACAAAGGGGCGTCAATGCACGCTATGCGTATATACGATTCCCACTCTTTGGAAGTCGTTGCAATAGAGATGGATGGGACAAAATTTCCTGAATATTTAAAATTGACCATGTTTGGGGCATCGATAAATACCCGAATTCCTTTGAGTCCATCACAATAGAAGAATTCCAAGTTTTCAAGACTGGGGAATTCACACGACGACAAGTGGCACAATGACGATTCGACACCTGCGAGTTTTAAGTCTTTCAGGCTAAAAAAATGTGCTCCATTGATCAACAAAATATTACCGTTACTGATGTTAATGGTTTCGAGAGATGGGTAGTGGATTTCCATGCTGCAAAGTTCCTCATCCCATATTCGACAAGACAAGTCGAAATAAAATTTCAATTTCTTGAGATTGCGAATATCATTCACCACCTTAAGTCTTTTGAAGCTTAAAATTCCGTGGACATCTAAATTTTCGATCAAGGGGCAGTTCGAGATTATTTTCCGTAAAATAACCTCGTCCTTGATCGAGACTCGTTGGAGAGTAAGTGATTTTAGATGCTTGAGTGTTACTAATCTTTCAATAGACTTTTCATCCAGCAGGAATTCTTCGACATGCAAAAGTTGGAGGGATTCGGATCCAAATACGACAGGTGGCAGTTCGACCCGACCCCGGCAATGCTCCGAGATAATAGAGAGATGGAATTTCTTCGTACCCGTATTTTTTAGTAACCGGGACCATTTCTCGAGAAACGGTACGGATTCATAATCCAAATCGTAAACTATTAGCGTATATATTATATATATATTGCGTACATTATATTATTATTCCTATTTATTCTAGTTACCTTGTATAATAGGTTACCTTGTGTAGTTAGGATTAGGGTTTCCTACATATCACTATATATATGATTAATATACGTGAGAGATAAATCATTCTCTCTTTTCTCCAAATATATTTCTCCTATATAAACCAAATTGCCGAGCGATATAGAGAGGTGAAATTCCTCCACGCACACACCTTGATCATTGTATCGCTGTAAAGTATTGTCGACAATGGTTAGAAATTCTATTTTATTTTCTCTATTTCGAACACGGTAATAATATTCATCCTCCCTTGAAGGTGGTGTGTATGTAAAATCAAGATTAGGGCGAGTGCACCAAATGTAACGCCATTGTTTGGACAAGACAGAGGTTCGAGTAGCTTCCTTTTGGGACAGGAAATACAATATCTTGCGCAACACGTCATTTGGCAACTCCGATATCCTGTCCATTATTCACCCTCTCATAAACCCTAGATTTTGTTTGTCGATTCAATAAACCCTAGTAATCACAGGACACGTTCTTATAGTTTTTGTCTCCAACTCTGTAAACCCTAGTTATAAACCCTAAAAAAATTCGCCGCTTCAATCAATAAATAAATATAGAAAAAAAATCTTTTTAATAGAGGTTAGTATTCTGATTAGTTTGTAATACATATAACTTGTTATAACTCTATAAAGGTAGTCGGCGTCAAAAAAAGAAAAGAAATCTACAAAGGTAAGAATTACATTGAATTCCTTTCTTGCTGACCTATTTTCCTTCTTTTAGGATTCCACATTGTATCTATTTGCTAACTTATGTTTCAGCGCCACGTAGCACGAAAACTTACTTTCGCGTTTCCGACACGTTTCGTGTCCGACTTTGTAGGACACCTGACAGATACCTTATAGACCCATTTTGAAATTTCTGAAAAACTAGAAACATGCTTGTATAGCAAATTTTCAAATATTTTTGTTGCTTTCCTAATTATTTACATGATTTAATGATCAATTGCAAATTAACAGCTAATAATAATATTTATTTTGAATATAATTTGTATGAAAATATATAAAAAGAATTTAGCTATAAATAAAAACTTATACATGTTTATGTATTATATTTATAAATATACTCCTATACTTTTTATATCTACACGTTTCCCCCAAGTTCCCGTATCCCCATTTTTGGAACATGTTTCCTGTGTTCGTTTTTCCGTTTCCGTGTATCGCTGTTTTTGTGTCCGTGCTACATAGTTGTTCAGTCATAGGAAATAATATTATAAATATAATTATGTTGCAGCTTCTTTTTTTTTTTTTTTCTTTTATTAAAAAAACTTTAATAATTGAAGAGTTAAAGTTTACACATAAAAATTAGGATTATTTGGAGAGAATTCAAAATTTCAAGTTCCCGTATTCCCATTTTTTGGATCATGTTTCCTGTGTCCGTTTTTACGTTTCCCTATATTGTTATTTCCATGTCCTTCCGTGTCCGTGTACATAGTTGTTCAGTCATAGGAAAGAAAATTAAAAATATAATAATGTTGCAGCTTCCTTTTTTTATTTTTTTTTGTTTTATTAAAAAAAGAAGTTGTTCTATTAAAAAAACTTTAATAATTGAAGAGAATTCAAAATTTCATGTTGCCATATGGATTAGAAAAATGCTAAGTAAAAACCTTAGCATGCGTCTGCCGGGAGTCGAACCCGGGTCTATTGCTTGGAAGGCAATTATCCTAACCGTTGGACTACAAACGCTTGTCTGGAAAAATTTATTATTGCAATAGATCAACATTGTAAATTCTGTATACTTAAAATAGTTTATGTCGGTAAATCTTACAACTTATTCCTATCAAGGGTAAATTACAATTGTCCCTTGAGGTAAGGTATATTTACTAAAAAAACCTCTCTTTTTGTCATAATTCCTTCTACTACATTCAATGTATTTATTACATTAAAATCCATTTTATAGGGGTGAATGTAAGGAATTTACAAACTGGAGGGGCCTGTATGTAATTTCTTATAAATGAGGATTTTTTTGTAAATTAACTTTACCTCAATGAGTAGGTTGTAAATTTACCCTAGTGTGAGATGGGGAGAAATTAGGGGATTTGCATATTCACAAAATAAGTAATTGATTTTCTATAATAATATAATATGGTACTACTTCCGTTTCATACTAAGTGTCGTTTTAGCTATATAATTTTTTCTTCATATTAAGATTTAAGTGCCACAGAATTTCAAGGTATGACAACTTTTTCTATCCAACTTTACCCCAACATAAATGAAGCTTTACTGAAAAAATGAAGATCATATAGGTAAATTTGTCAAAATAAAACTTTTTACCCCAAAATCAAGACTATTTAATAACTTTCTTAATTAGTGTGCAACAACCTTAAACGTCACTTAAGCTCTGATTGATTCATGAATTTCAAAATAAGAAAAATGAAAATGCAAAGGAAAAGGAAATCAAGGACTTTTAAAATTTAAATTGTGTTCCTATAAAAAATGATGATGAAAATGATTTTCTAGAAAATCATTTTCTTTGGTTTTGTTTGGTAATCGGAAGAAAATATCGAAATAGAAAATTCATTAAATTATTTAACAGTTTTTTAAATCTTACAAAGACTTATCCAAAATTATATTCTCCTCCTTTCAACCAAAATTAATCTTTAATTAAAATATATTAAATAAATAAAATAATCTAAAACCTCCTACCCCATTTCTTCTCCCAATCGCCTCACCCCCGCTCCCCACCCCTACCCCGGTGGCGGCGGCGGCGTTCAAAGAAGAATTCAAAGACTGCTGTAATTGGAGAACCCAACCCTTGGTGACGATGCCACCTACGGCCGCCGCTTCGGCATGTATTAATGGGGTCGCGTGTAGTTGTTATTCATCGCCCACTCTCCAACTAAAGAAGTTGGCGGTGGCGTTCGGCGGCGGGGATGGTGGGAACAACGACGGTGGTGAGCATGGATGTGGTGGCAGTCTATTTCTGCGGAATCGGAATCGGATTATTTGTAGGGTCCAATAATTAGATCTATCTATAGCTATCGCGGTTGGAAAATCGTCAAGCGGATGAAAGATATTGGAGAGATTGCTGACGGCGACGGCTAAATGTGTGGAGGAGGTGGCGGAAGTCGGCGTAGAACAGGTGGCGGAGGTCGGTGTGGTGGAGGCGGCGGCAGCAGGTTGGCATGGAGGAGGCGGTGGCGTCGATGTGGAGTGTTCGGTAGTGGTGGGGTGGCGGTGATAGGAGATCCGTATGGAGGTGGTGAAAGACATTTTCCAAGTTTAGGAAAAGACATTTTCCTCATTTTGAGTTAATTTTTTTCCCTCTTTTTCTCTAAATTACTGTATCTCTTATTTTACCTGTAACCAAACAAGAAAAATAATTACTTAAACTTTTCACCTTTTTACGTAGCATTTTACTTGAACCAATCAGAGCGTTAATATAAAATGGAGGTAGTAACTTTCAATAATACGAAATAAGGGCATTTAGATAATTCGAGTCAATTAGATTATAACAAATATTAATTAAAAAAAATATTTATTATAAAGTCAAAATTCAATGAGGGGTTTGTCAAATAGCCCCTTATATTTTTTATGAATAAAGTAAGACTAACTAATGTTTAATTAATATTTCTTAGTTTTTATCTGATAAAAATAGTAATTAAATTCATATTTATCTACTAAATATTTTTTTTAACAAATTTATACTTAGTGATCACAATGAAACTGAACCAACAATCAAATTCAACAAAAATACGACCAAAAACTTTTATTAAAATTTATTGTAAAGCTAAATGACATACACAATCATAATTAGTATAGAAAACCAAATATTCATTTGCGAATTAGCAAAAAAAAATAATAAAATATATTCAAAACTCTATAAATGAAATGTACCAAAAAAATATCATAGAGGCTTAAAAAATAAACGTTATCAAATAAAGAGTAACAAATATCATAACGAGTAATAAAATATAATTAATTATTATTTTTTTCAATTGAAAACTCTGAAATATTAATTAAAAAAATAATTTCTACAAAAATGTTTATTTCATTCATCAAATAAAAAAAATAAAATTAATGGTATATTTTATTTCCCTCCAAAATCGTCCAACTCTTCGGCCACATCATCTAGTTTATTTTTAATCTATTTATTTTTATAAAGTAAACGTCAACTCATTCAACCAACTATTGCATAACCAACCATTGCATTACGTACCTGTTATAGCAAGTCATATGACCAAAATTCCCAACTTTTGTAACTTTTACATAACTAAAATTCTGATTTTGAAACTTGGTGGACTAAGGGGGTGTTTGCAAATGCTTATGTAAAATCAGAAGTTGGTGATTATGAGTTAAGCTCTAAAAAATCACTTATTTGTAAAAGTTGTGGGTGTTTGCAAAAAACCTATAAAATCAACTTTAAGCAGTTAATTTAAAAGTTGCAGTGTTTGCAAACAAACTTAAAATTTCAACTTATTATTTATAAAATGTCCTACATACCCTAATAAATACACAAATAAATATATAAATTAATTCATTTATAATCAATTTTCTGTTATTTTTTTCAACGGATATATATATATATATATATATATATATATATATATATATATATATATATATATATATATATATATATATAAGTACACATCATCGATTATGCAAGTTCTTATTTTAGATTTTCTATACGACTATGGATTAATACCAAATAGTTTATAATTGTTGGGGAATATTTTAATTTATATATTCAAATACAATAGGCTGAAGTCTGAACAATAAGAAAATAAAAACATAACTACACCTAACCACTAATGAATATGTAATCCAATTCTAGAAAATGCAATAGAAGTACAAATATCGTCTCTAAGTTTGTCCATTCCACCATCACGGACGTTCAAATCTGGTCCATGAATATTGGCATTAGATCGAGGAATGCTTCTGTCCTTTGGCAAATAGTTTGGGTCATTGTCATATTGTAAGAAATCCTCATCTAGTGCGTCGACTTTACGAATAAAATTATGGATTGCCATTGTAGCCGGGACAAGCGCAACTTGATCTTTCCAAGGAATATTAACGGGCACATCTTTTATTGTATAAAATCTTCCTTTCCAGCACCCAAATGTTCGTTCGATTGTACTTCTTAATGACGAGTGCAAATGATTGAACACTTCATACTGATTAGTATATGCAATAGCTCGTTGAAAATTTGGAAGATGATACTTCTCACCTTTGTATGGTGCAAGAAATCCTGATATATTTGGATAACCGGCATCAACCAAGTAGTACTTACCTATCACAAATATTAGAAGACTTATATATAATGATTGCACACAGATAAGCTAAAATGTATAAAGAAATATGAGATTGAAAATAATCAAACCAGGAGGTGGCATTGGAAATTTTTTTTTCCGGATTTCTGATAGTGTCATAAAATATTCGTGTGTCGTGCGCACTTCCCTCCCAGCCTGGCAATACGTACGTGAAACACATATCAAAGTCACATACGACCATAATATTTTGACTGGGAGTTCCTTTCTTCCAATAAAAGGAGTTTGTTGCTCCTTCTGAAGCGCCGCCTTAATGTGGGTTCCGTCAATTGCTCCAATACAATCCTTAATAAAATGAATATTAGTCCCTTAGAAATAAAGAACACGAACAAGATTTACTTTAAACGTTATTTCAAAGAAAATTACCTTAAAGTGAGGATAAAATCTCTTGTTAGTTCGAATGTACTTATGAGTGACAGAGTTATCTGTGAATGGAATAACCCAGTCGATGGACATCAATGTACATGCTTTTAGGACCCTGTGAAATGATTTACTTATTGTAAATCCAGATCTTTGCAACATTTCTTGACACTGTCTATTTCCACATCTTGGACCCACTAGCATAAGGAATGTAGCAACCTGTTACTCAACTGCAACTCCTCTCATTGATACAAGACCATATTCATCAACTAATAACTTACAAAGTAGAAAGAAAGTCTCTATTCTCATTCTTAAGTTTTCCTTACAACGTCGAGGATTTCCATTAAAAATAGACAACAAAGCAACCCATCCGCTATACTCTCTATTGTGACACGGAGTTTTATGTAAATAGTTTTGATAGTAAGATACGACTGCGATACATATTGAATTTAGAACCTGAGCTCCGGTTTTGTTAGATGTTGATATAACACTTTCTTTTTCTTCATCACTGCTTAAAGAATCTAAATCATGGCTACCTGATGATTTAGAAAGAGAATCCATGTTTGAGTTTGAGTCGTCATCAGTATCATCCATTCTGTCAATAACAAGAGAAAGTACTTAGAAAAATAAATTCAACTGCCATGACATTTAATAAATAAATCTTAACAAACCAAATAGGATGAAGATCCAAAGTAGTTCAATTCTTAACAAGCAACAACAAATGAAACAAACAAGAAAGTAGATTAGAAAAAAATAACATCCAATTCTAGAGTATTAAATGAAATGTTCTCTTTCATCCAGATAATGCATGGTCATTTTCATGAGAACCATGAACTAAAGTAGTTGAAGTAGTGCGGCGTCTAATGTCCCGTTCCATTTGTTCTTCAAGCCACTTCAAGCGGATCTCATTTTTTTTTATGGTAAAAAACAACTCACGAATAGCTGGCTTTAAGAAAATGCGAGTTGCATACATCCACAGAGGACCACCTTCATCAATTCCGGGCATATTCTCCAATATCTCGAGACATTCTTGTATGCTGTATTGACGCCTTGTATCACCATTAAGGCGAGATGAGTCATATTCCATTGCATCAACCATTCTTTCCAGACACTTTGAGATCTTGTCAGCATTAGAGACCTTCTTAGTTTTCTTTTTACGGATACGATTAAGAAATTCAGTGTTTTTTCTCATCGAACTAGTTGGTGGTGCTTCTCTTGGCACTTCAGTTGATATTTCGGTTGTTTCATCAGTAGGTGTAGGTGTATATATTGGAGGCTCGGACTGCGGATATCCACTTTCAAGATCCTCGAATGCTTCACCTTGAGATTCTTGTTCTCTTTCCTCTTGCATGTGGGGTGGCAATATACCAGAGCTTGGAGTCCATGAACTTGTTCCAGTTGCAATCACATCCGAGAATAACATCTCTTGCTCATATAAACACAAAGGACCCCTCTCTCGAAATTTGGCTGCGAGTGGATTTGCCTGAAATTCAAACCAAACATTTTAAAATACTACTTCAATAAAATAAAGAAACTAAACACATTTCTTTAAAATTCAAGCTACCTGTATCTTCTTATGCCACCACTCTGGAGTTGCATCAACTGTGCCTTTTATTTGATTCCAGCCTAATCCCGACTCACCATGTAAAATAGCTTTCCACTGACCCCATTCCTTTTTCATTATATCCCATTTGTTCTTAAGTTGGATTCTTGTGTAATTGCGGTTTGTAGCAGAAGAGAATTTTTTAACGAGGTTATCCCATCCGATTTTATTAAAGTGGCTACCAGGACGATTTCCCGCTGTGGTTTCTTGGACACACAGCCTAATGAATACCTCTGTGGTTTTGTTATCCCAATTAGCCTTGACCGAGTCAGAGTTTTTACCAACACGAACTCTGTGGCTAGTGACATTAATCGGATGCGAGTCTTCATCGTTATACGATGAAAGATTCTCAGAAACAGCAGGTGAGATGTTAAAATAATTAAATGAAGAACCCATAGACACACACACTGTGTTGTGCTGATAAAACAAAATCAAAGATTAACATTAAAGAATGATTATAATCAAATAGACCATAATTTGGATAAACTAATATTGATGTGTAGATTACAGATAAGCAAATTATATATTTTTTTCCCTAAAAGCCCTTTCATACCGACTCCCATAGCTAAACACAAAGATTGCAACATATTGCGTAAGTACATGAAAAAAAAAATATATGCAAAACCCATGTTAGAATACACGAGGACAAATGGTCCAAATTAAAACAAAATCAAATATATATTCAAAACACAAAGTTTGTGAAACAAGATTTTAGCCATATTCTTACAGAAATCAGAAAAGCCCAAAATCATATAAGCCAAATTGCTACATATATTTGAGGAAAAACATAGGTGCGTAATTCACAAATATATACATATATATATTTAATGTTATTAATCCTTAAACTGCAACATGTAAAAAAGAAGAAGATGAAGGTTCATACCTATTGTGATTGTGACGGTAAATTTCTTGCTGAAACAGAGTGGAGGTGGAGGTGTTGTTTTATGTGACAGGGTTTTGACGTGAATACAGGGTAATGCTGGGTAAACGTGGGAATTAATTAAATTTATTAAAAGGGTAAAAATGAATTAAAATATTTAAAACAGCTTATTTTTATTTACAGAAATGCCATCAACCGAAAAAGTTGGGTCAAGGCTGCTTTTGAGATTATAGCTTAAAATAGCTTATTTTTAGAGAAGCAAAAGTAGAAGTTTGTGTCACAAACACCAAAAAATAGATTATGAGGCAAGAAAAGCTCATAAGCTGTTTGCAAAAGCATTTGCAAACACCCCCTAAAACTCACAACTAGTAAACTTATAGGACTAAAAACTCATTTTGTCAATAAATCACAACTAAACTCTAATTGTCTCTACACATTAGATCCGTAATTATAATCTAATACGTATAAATCAACTCAATAATCTTTGTTAGATAACAAATAATTTGAACTATCCGTTAGATAGACATACATATTTCATTCACATATATGCCCACGCAATTATTGAAATAATTCCAACACTAAAAAGTCCATTTTCGGCCAAATTGCTCCATGAATTGCACACGTGCGATATACACACGTGAAATAGAGGGGCAATTTCGCCAACTCACTGGTTTTTTTTAGGAAAAAAGAAAAATGGATACAGGAAAAAAGAAAATTGGAAAAATGGATACAGGAAAAAAGAACAAAAGAAAAAAAAAAAATTGGGCAGCAAAGTGCACTTAACCGTAGTTGATTTATATTCCTGTGTGCGTTATATCTGTGTTTATTGCTATTCATTTTCACCCTTTCCCCTTTCCTTTTTTGGGCATTAACAGGCAATATTTCAAATGAATAATAGTAACAGGTAGTTAAAGAAAAAACTCTAATGAATCATAAATGTTCATAAAAAAGTTTTTGAACTGATTTATTCTGTACAAAAAAGAAGAAAGAAAGCGAAGGTAATGTAAAGCAAGTCAAAATTGATGAACTAATTGAGTTATTACATGTAAGAAAAAAGGGAATGTAAAGGAAGCCAAATTCAAGATTTATTGGATAAAAGTTAAAGGAACATTTGCATGTTTAATATACAAGGCAGCAAGACTTTATAACTTAAGACGAGCTTCAAAATCGCAGAACAACAAACCTTGCAACACTTCCAGCTACAAACCTCAGTCAATGATTGATACGTCGCAATACTGATAAAAAAGTTACATCCTCTTTTATGACATAGTAGTAACAAAAACTGAAAGTAAAGATTGTACGGCGCAATACTGATAAAAAAGTTTTCAAGGCCCGAGTGCATAAATTAATTATGAAGCAATAATGCTTGTTTAGAGAATAGACATAATAGGGAATTTACGACAGATAGTTATGCAGGAAAAAATGCAACTTCACATGCAGCGGATCCTCGTTGAAAACGTGAGATATTCGTGAGCATATTAACTATTTTGCCGGAATCAAGGAATTGGGAATATGTTATTTCCATCATCTCCAAGACTTTAGCATTCCTTAAAAGATATTTTATAATCTCAAGCTCCTGCTCGTTACCGCAGATCCAAACAAGCTTTATAATTCTAAGGTGTGATAATACACATGTGGGCACTTGTTGCGGTGGTTCCTTCCAGTATTTCATTTCTTCATTAGACTGGTTATCAAGAAATTCCAGCAGAGATTAAAGAAAAACAAAAAGATGACTTGTATGCAAGACATTAAAGAAGTAACGAAAGAGGAAAACCGAACACTTTTATATTGCATCAACAAACCTCAGAGAAAATAAGGATTTCAAGATTATCAGCATTTTCGAGGAACTTTGGGAGAAAACGGCAATCGGTAGTCAATTCAAGTTTGGTCAAGTTATGAAATTTTGTAGTCCAAGTCGAGAGTACTGAGTCAATAATCTGTAAGGAAATGATCAGACAGTAGAAGATTGCCATTAATTACGAAAGAAATGGACAAAGAGGTGAAGAAATAATTGGAATGCATACCTTGGTACAATATGCTAAATTCAATTCAAGACACCTGACTTTGCAAAAATTATCAAGAAATTCCAGCAGAGATCTCGAACAAAGATAATGGTCTTCTTTCGTGTCGTCTCTGTAAAGGATGATATTTGCTTCAGTTAAGGAGGTTAGCACCCCACATTTGATATTCTCTGTGAAAGAATCGTGTATCTTGAGATACTCAAGTGAAGGGATATTTATCTCCAGCATGTTAGCTCTACCACCATGATAAAATCGAGAAAGAGCTTTTTTATGGTAGGTGAAGATACATTACAATAATCCATATCACCGTCTGATTTGATTGTCAATTCCTCGAGCACCGGACAACCAGAAATCAGGTTGGGGATGCACTCATCGGCCTCATAATCAAGATTCATTAGACGAAGAATCTTGAGTCGAGGCAAGCACGCGACACTACTTACGACGACAAGACCGCAACAATTGAGGCTCAGAAAAACAAGGGTTTTGCAGGTGAAGAGACATCGAGGCAGAGGTTCTTCACAATAAAAATAAAGATCAATTTTTTGCACATTTCGCCCGACGGCAAAGGCAGCAAATGCATCCAGCGAGTCGAGTTGATCGTTTTCCCAATCATCCTTACGAATGCTGAAACTATTGATGGTTTGCAGTTTGTGTAGCGATATAACCCTATCTATGGTACCTTGATTCTCGTTGCGGAAAAGTAAATTGGGGACGTAAGACCAGAGATACCTCCATCTTCTACTTAGAATGCTGGTCGCCACGGATTCCTGAGTTGAAAGAAAAGAGAGGATATGACATATCACTGAGTCCGGCAAATCGGTGAGCCTATCAATCGGTACCGTATTTCGCTTCCCGTGCGAATGCTTCCGCCGCTTTCTGCGGTGCTTTTCCGATATCGTCATAAAAATCAATAAAAAAAGAAGGGATAATCTGAAGACGCAAGATACGGCTGATTACTCAGAAAAAAGGTTTTCCAACGGTGAGAATGTTGAAAGGAGTTGCGATTGTTTAGAAGAAGGGTATTACTTTCACCAATTTACTTCCATTGTGGTAGGAAGGAGTTGCGTTTATAACTAAAACCTCACGGTTCTTATATATTGGTGGGTGGCTATTGTTTTACCAAATCCACGTACAAATCACCCGGAGAATTACACTTTTGGTCCCTCATGTTTAGCTCGATTGCATTTTTGGTCCCTATTGTTTTTTAATGAACAAAGTTAACCTTCAATTTTAAAGAATTTCAGTATTCGCCGTCCCATATCCACGAAAACACTATTATGCGGCCAAAATTAAAATTTTGAAAAATAATCAGAAATTTTACATACACTACTTATAATTAAATTTTTAATATTATTCAGTATAAATGAAATTATCTTAGTTAATTTATTTTTTCATTATTAATTTTTTTATTATAAATAGTATAATTAAAATAATATTAAGTATAATTAAAAATAATTTTTTTAATTATGTTTTTATTATTAAAATTTTAATTATACATAGTATAATTATAACATTATTAAGTACACTTCAAAATAATTTGTTTAGTTAATTTTTTTTTATTAAAAATTACATTATAACTTATAAGTAGTATAATTATAATAATACTAAGTATAATTAAAAATATTTTTTAGTTAATTTCTTTTTTTATTATTAAAATTTAATTATAGGTAGTATTATAAAAACATTAACTATGATTAAAAAAATAGTTTTTTAAGTTAATTTATTTTCTTATTTTTAAAAGATTTATTATAAGTAGTATATTTTAAATTTCTATTATTTTCCTGCCCCAAAAAAAAATTCAATTTTAATCTCAAAATAGTGTTTTCCGTTACTTTCTAACGTCATGTATTGGCGAGAACCGAAAGTGTTTAAAAATTGAACTTTGAGGACCCTTCACTTACATAATCTACTGTATTTATCATTATTGGACTATGATAAATTGGACTGCATTTAGCCTTTTTACAATTTTTTACTTTTTTTAATTAAAAAACAAATATTATTATTATTATTATTATTATTATTATTATTATTATTATTATTATTATTATTATTATTATTATTATTATTAT